CTCACCAAAATACTAGCCAATATGATCCAACAGTACATTAGAAGGATTATTCACCACGACAAAGTGGGATTTATCCCTGGGCTGCAAGATTGGTTCAACATCTGCAAATCAATCAACGTAATACAATACATTAACAAAAGAAAAAACAAGAATCTTATGATCCTCTCATTAGATGCAGAAAAAGCATTTGACAAAATACAGCATCCTTTCTTGATCAAAACTCTTCAGAATATAGGGATAGGAGGGTCCATACCTCAATATCATAAAAGCCATCTATGAAAAACCTACAGCAAATATCATTCTCAATGGGGAAAAACTGAGAGCTTTCCCCTAAGTTCAGGAATGCTGCAGGGATGTCCACTATCACCAGTGCTATTCAACATAGTTTTAGAAGTCCTAGCCACAGCAATCAGACAACAAAAAGAAATCAAAGGCATCCCAATCGGCAAAGAGGAAGTCAAACTCTCACTCTTTGCAGATGATATGATACTGTATGTGGAAAACCCAAAAGACTCCACCCCAAAACTGCTAGAACTCATACAGGAATTCAGTCAAGTGGCAGGATATAAAATCCATGCACAGAAATCAGTGGCATTCCTATACACCAACAACAAGACAGAAGAGAGAGAAATTAAGGAGTCAATCCCATTTACAATTGCACCCAAACCATAAGATACCTAGGAATAAATTTAACCAAAGAGGCAAAGGATCTGTACTGAGACAACTATAAAATACTCATGAAAGTAATTGAAGAAGACACAAAGAAATGGAAAAACATTCCATGCTCATGGATTGGAAGAACAAACATTGTGAAGATGTCAATGCTACCTAGAGCAATCTACACATTCAATGCAATCCCCATCAAAATACCATCCACTTTTTTCAAAGAAATGGAACAAATAATCCTAACATTTGTATGGAACCAGAAGAGACCCCGAATAGCCAGAGGAATATTGAAAAAGAAAAGCAAAGCTGGCGGCATCACAATTCCGGACTTCCAGCTCTATTACAAAGCTGTCATCATCAAGACAGTATGGTACTGGCACAAAAACAGACACATAGTTCAATGGAACAGAATCGAGAGCCCAGAAATGGACCCTCAACTCTATGGTCAACTCATTTTCGACAAAGCAGGAAAGAATGTCCAATGGCAAAAAGACAGTCTCTTCAACAAATCGTGTTGGGAAAATTGGACAGCGACATGCAGAAGAATGAAACTGGACCATTTCCTTACACCACACACAGAAATAGACTCCAAATGGTTGAAAGACCTAAATGTGAGACAGGAGTCCATCAAAATCCTAAAGATCACAGGCAGCAACCTTTTCGACCTCAGCCGCAGGAACTTCTTTCTAGAAACATTGCCAAAGGCATGGGAAGCCAGGGCAAAAATGAGCTATTGGGAATTCATCAAGATAAAAAGCTTTTGCACAGCAAAAGAAGCAGTCCACAAAACCAAAAGACAACCGACAGAATGGGAGAAAATATTTGCAAATGACATATCAGATAGGGCTAGTATCCAAAATCTATAAAGAACTTATCAAACTCAACACCCAAAGAACAAATAATCCAATCAAGAAAGGGGCAGGCGACATGAACAGACATTTTTCCAAAGAAGACATCCAATGACCAACAGACACATGAAAACGTGCTCAACATCTCTCGGCATCAGGGAAATCCACATCAAAACCTCAATGAAATACCACCTCACACCAGTCAGAATGGCTAAAATTAACAAGTCAGGAAATGACAGATGTTGGCGGGGATGTGGAGAAAGGGGAACCCTCCTACACTGTTGGTGGGAATGCAAGCTGGTGCAACCACTCTGGAAAACAGTATGGAGCTTCCTCAAAAAGTAGAAAATAAAGCTACCATATGATCAATCAATTGCACTCCTGGGTATTTACCCCAAAGATACAAATGTAGGGATCCGAAGGGGTACATGCACCCCGGTGTTTATAGCAGCAATGTCCATGATAGCCAACTGTGGTAAGAGCCAAGATGTCCATCGACAGATGAATGGATAAAGAAGAGGTGGTATACATATACAATGGAATATTATGCAGCCATCAAAAGGAATGAGATCTCGCCATTTGCAACGACGTGGATGGAACTGGAGGGTGTTATGTTGAGTGAAGTAAGTCAATCAGAGAAAGACATGTACCATCTGATGTCACTGATATGTGCAATTTTTAATCTCAGGAAACAAACTGTGGGTTGCTGGAGTAGGGGTGAGGTGGGAGGGATGGGGTGGCTGGGTGATAGACATTGGGGAGGGTATGTGCTATGGTGAGCGCTGTGAATTGTGCAAGACTGTTGAATCACAGATCTGTATCTCTGAAACAAATAATGCAACATATGTTAAGAAAAAATAAAAGAAGAAGATAGGAGGGGAAGAATAAAAGGGCGGAAATTGGAGGGGGAGACGAACCATGAGAGACTATGGACTCTGAAAAACAAACTGAGGGTTGTAGAGGGGAGATGGGTGGGGGGATGGGTTAGCCTGGTGATGGGTATTAAAGAGGGCACGTTCTGCATGGAGCACTGGGTGTTACGCACAAACAATGAATCTTGGAACACTACATTAAAAACTAATGATGTAATGTATGGATATTAACATAACAAAAAAATTCAAAGGAAAAAAAAAAGCTTGTGGAAATTCCTTTAATCAGGAAGCAGCTCTGGATCCCGCTATAGACTTGAGATGTAAATTAGTGAATTTCAACTCCTGTCCAAATCAGAGATAAATGAATTAGTATTCAAGGAGGAGTTCAAGTAATTCTAAATATAATGTTTTGTTTTGTTTTGTTTACCAAATGGGGTTATTTGAAAGCAACAGACCCTATTCCCCTTCCCGAACACAAAATATCTTTTTCTAAGTTACGTTTTCAGGTAATGTCCTTCACTTGTACCAGGCAAGTAATAATACTTACTATTATTTTTACTTCATATTTTTCATGAAGCCATTGCTAAAGAGATAATTCTTTGTGTAGTTCAATAACATTTTTTGCATCCAAAAATTCATTTTAACTTAGAATCTGAAACAAAAATAGATTTTTATCTGATGAAAAACTATAACCCATTATGTTTCTTTAATTGCCTTGCCTGTCCGAAAGCCCAAGCAGAACTAATGTTCACACAAATCAACTGCATTCAGCCTAGGTCAGCATTTCCCAAAGGGTCCTCTGTAGATTGCTACTACAAGCTGCTTTTTAAAAAAGAAAGTGTTTAATGGCCACAAGTGTGAGAAACAAGATTTACAATTCCATTAGCATATTAATAATTCCAGGAGGGACAACAATGATGTTTGAATTTGTTTTATCCAACCTTTCTTGAATGTATTTGATTACACAATTCTGTCTTTGCATAATACTTATTATTATGAAACCCACAAATTTGGGAAAGACTAACTACATCACTGATTCTTTTCTCTCCCTCTTCTAGAGATGTGTTTTCTTTCCCTACTTCTGCATCTACCTTGTACATATGCATTATAAGGCATAGATAATAAATAAATTGTGAGTGTGGGCATGTTTGTGTGTGTGTGTGTGTATATATATATATACACACACATACACACAAACACACATACACAGAAAGGTCCAACTTCTACTCTGTTCCTTTTTCTCCTAGCTCTATGGCTTTTATTTATGTATTGTGGTGTGTGTATTTATTATATAGAAGGTCTCCGTTTCAAATTGGCCTGCCTAGCAGATCTTTTCTCTGTTCCTGGCAGGATCTGTACATGAACAAGAGCCTTCTAGGGAAAACCCAAAGCCCTTCAGGAAGTGGTCTGTGATGATGTGATGTAGTAGCTGATGAGTTTCCTTCTGAGTCAGGGCTGCCACAAGGGGGTCCCCAGGAATTGACACCTCTCCAAAAAGATGTAAAGATGTTAGTGCTGAGGTCATGACCACCTCTACCTTTGTTAAGGGCCCTCGAGGGCTTTTCCCAAGTCACTGAGATGAATAGAAGCCAAACCAGATTTCAGCCCAGGTCCTCCCCTTTCTCTGAATTCCCCCTCACTTCCCTGTTTTAATACTTCCTTGGAGTATCTTGGGTTGCCTGGTTTGGGTTTCACATGCCTCCACCGTGAAACGCACATCCCTGTGTACATCTAAAACAGCAACATAAAGATGGCCCCCTGGGTTCATTTTCCATTTTCTCCCACATCTTTTCATGAAAAGACTGGGTTGCAAGAACATTTGAAGAATACCATATGCCTGGGGCAGCAGTAATAATGCTGCTTCACATATTTATAGACCTTTAAGCCCTTCTGCCCCGTACAGATCTTCCCCAACTCACAAGGAGGTTAGGTCCCAACGAACCCATCACAAGTTGAAAATGCCTTAAGTCAAAAATGCATCTAATACACCTAACCTATCCAGCAACGTAGCTTAGCCTCGCCTACCTTATAGGGACTCAGAAGGCTTACATGAGCCTAGACTTGGGCAAAATAATCTAACACAAAGTCTACTTTCTAGTCAAGTGTTGGCTATCTTGTGTAATTTATTGCAAACCATATGGAAAGTGAAAACCAGAACAGTTGGATGGGTGCAGAATGGTTGTAATTATATGGGTTGTTTACCCTGGCAATCACCTGGCTGACTGGGAGCTGCAGCTTTTTGTCCCTGCCGGGCATCCCAAGAGAGGATCTTAACACACAGATCACTCACTAGCCCAGGAAAAGATCCGAATTCAAAATTCGAAGTACAGTTTCTACTGAATGCATATTGCTCTCACACCACTGCCAAGTTGAACATTCATAAGTCAGTCAGGGATCGCCTAGACTTAGTCTCAATGTTTTCCTTCAGAGGCTCACTACTGTGGAGTCACGTGGAGCTGGTTCTTAACAGAAAAAATACTCCCCTGCTGCTTCATAAGGACTCAAAGCTGCGGTAAAAGGATTCTAGGTCTCTTGACATTTAGTCAAAACCACACTTAATTCATGCAAAAATAACTTGCAGTTTGAAATAATCATTGCTCTGAAGTGTACTTACATAGGCACCTCTTTCTTTCACTAGCCTGCGTGGGTCTTAAGGGTAGAGGTTCAACTGACCAATCCCTGCCTGCATCTTTATGGCCTCATAGAGTTCGGGTGCTTGCTTCGTTCTTAATAAGTATCTGTTGAGTAAATGAAGCACTAAGATTAGCAGTAGTTACTTGAGAAACAACAAAAGGTTCATTCACTTGGGATAGCAAAACCAGGGCACTAAAGATTTGGGTCACCCACTGTCGTATCAGGAAGTGCTTCCTCAAGTGAAACTTACATCCCACCCACTACAGGCAAAGTACACTTCTTGTGATTCTGCGCTCAGTGACTATGGAAGGCAGATGTCAACTGTCTGGACCCTGCATTCTGACAATGCCAGACAAACAAGAGATATGGAAACTTCCAGTCACATTTCTTTCAGGGCTTTTCGATGATCCTGAGTCTGCTTCTAAGATTCAGAAACACTGGCCAGTTTCTCCTTTGATAGCTGCTGTCTGGAAATTTCTTACCTACAGAACGACTTGAGATCCTTGAGCTTCTTCTCTCTAGAATTCTCCAGATAATTCTCAAGCCATCCATGGGAGCATTCTTCTTAGAAAGTCGGAGAGTTGGGCCCCGTGAAAGGCAATGAATTGCAACAGGCGGCCACTGAAACTGTTCTGGGTTCAGCATAGGGGCTGACTGTCCATCCAATAGCAAGCACTGCTTCCTGAACTAAATCCATCATTAAAAAAAAAAAAAATCAATATATCTAAAACCTTGGCTCAATAAACCGGAATCCTTTGGAGTGCTTATTAAAAGATTATATTTTAGCAGGGAAATCTGAATAAAATCTGTAGTTTAGTGACCAGTAATGTGCCATGATTATGTGACAAATTGACGTTAGGCTTCTGAGTATATACCCCAAATAACTGAAAGCAGAGACCCAAACAGATATTTGTGCATCACATTCGTAACAGCACTGTTCACAATAGCCAAAAGCAGAAGCAACCCAAGTGTTAATAAAGTGATAATAGATATATACTACCTTTCATATATATATATATACTTTATACATATATAGATATATATATACACATCACAGATTATTATTCTGCCTTAAGAAGGAAGGAAATTCTGTCACAGGCTACAACATGGATGCACCTTGAAGACACGATGCTAAATGAAATAAGCCAGTCACAAAACAAATATTGTATGATCCCGCTTACATAAGGTACCTAGAGGAGTCAAATTCACAGAGGCAGAAAGCAGAAGGGTGATGTCCAGGATGGGGATGGGGAAAATGGGGAGTCTTCATTTAATGGGTACTGAGTTTCAGTTTGGGAAGATGAAAATGCTCAGAAGACAGATGGTGGTGATAATTACACAACCATGAATGTGTGTAATGCCACCAAACTATATATTCAAAAATGCTTAAGTGGCAAATTTTATGTTATGAATATTTTACCACAACTTTTAAAAAAAAGAAGGAAAGTAACAGGGGTGCCGTGGTGGCATCCGACTTTTGATTTCAGTTCAGGTCATGATCTCGGGATCGTGGGATTGAGCCTTGCATCGGGCTCCTTGCTCAGTGTGCAGTCTGCTTGTCCCTCTCCCTCTCCCTCTGCTTCCCCTGCTCTCTCTCACTTTCTCTCAAATAAATAAATAAATCTTTAAAAAAACTTAAAAATAAAGTAACATTAAGGGAAATGGGATAAAGGCTATACTGAATTCTCAATATTATCTTTGCAACTTTTTTGTAAACCTAAAATTATTTCCCCCCCAAAAAAGTTTATTTTAAAAAAGTTAAAAAAAAAAAACATAAAAACGCTACTAGATTATTGTATGAACACCACTACCAACAAGAAAAATGTATTTCTGGTCTCCACACTAAACTATATGAAATCTCTCTGGAGTTAGGGGTGAGGGGTAAGTAGCCTCATTTTTAATAAGTTCTAAAATGTAAGAACAACTATTTTTTAAGACATTACTAACAACTGTTTTAAAAATTCTCTTCTTTCTTCCTGACTTTTTTAGTCAGTGATAGAGTCAAATCTATAGCAGAATTCTGGAGCAACCAGTGTTTTCTGTGAGTGCTGCTTTCTCACTGTGCTTTGGTCAGTCTGCGGGCCCATCATGGGCCACTGGGATCATCTGTAACCCCGGAACTAGGGGGTTGCCAAGTGTCTCCCCCTTCCCTGGATCTTTTCTCCATGTCTCCCGCTTTCCCTCCACTTCCACTCTCGACCTCGTGAGAAGGGCTCTATTCCTGAGAAACTTAGTAACCATGGGCTGATTGGGTCATGACCAAGCTTATTTCTCTCTCTCTTTCCTTACCACTTTCAATGACCCCTTTCAACAAGGGTCAGAGCCAGATTTGTAACTGAATACAAGAACAACAAGCAAGAAAAGGGGACAAGAGCATCAAGTCATGCTGGATCGCTTTAAAGCGATCTTGTTCTGATGCTGCACTCAATAAAAAGAAAGAAAGAGGCTGCCATGATGGTCATGAGCGGGTTCAGCAGAAAGCTCCTAGGCCAGAGAGCATGTCCAGGTTTCTCCATAAAATCCATGTCACTTCACCGCTCAGTGCCTCAGTTTGCCTCTTATAAAATAACAGACGAGAGAAACTCTGAGGGTTTCGGCAGTTTTTGAAACTCTGTGATGGAACAAAACAAAACCATCCTGACCTGAAGTATTTGAATGGCCACTCTCCTCGGGAATGAAACTTGCATTTTTTGCAGCTCAAAAGTTTTGAAGGGAGATCGGGCACTGGGGTGACTCACACTAAAGCTTCTGAAAGCATGAAGATCGTATAACCCAATCAAATTGTCCAGCTCCTCTGGGAGGGAGGAGTGTTGAGAGGAGAGAGGAAAGTGGCGTCTGAGAGACATTCAGAGGTGACTCTATTCTTAAACACATGTGAATGGCCCCTGTCCTATTGCCGATTATGTACTGAAGAAAAGGAAACCGCGACAAGAAGTTAGGTGTTCCAAGAAGATGCCAGGGAGGGGTGGGGGGGACACTTGCTTATGTCCCGATGCTCTCTCCTCACTTTTCTCTGGCCCAGGAATTCCTGATTCTTTTTGCAAGCAAAAACTCCCCTGCAGACTCTCAATGGTTTAGCTGGTCCAATCTTTGGAACTTTGGAATCGGGCACTGTGAGATTTGTAGGCAGTAAGCTTGCTGGTCAAGGTCAGAAGTGTGAGTATTTAATAAAGTCTGACAACTATCGATCCAGTTGTGATAAACAGTGCCCCAAAGCCATTCTGAGCAGCAGAGAGTTAGCACCTTTAGCTTAGTGTGGAAAGAGGGAAACAGGCAAACTGTGAGCTGACGCAGGGAGGCCAAAGGAGAGTGGGCCCAGAGAGCAGTGCAAAATTCTCAGGAGGAGGGGCTCCCTTTGCTGGAGTTGCCCTTCCTAGCATGAGCCCAACAACGTCCAGGCAGAGTGACTGCGTTAGATATTCCCAGATTCTTCCTTCCTTCCTGGGCGCTAGGGTCCAGAAAGCTTATGCAGTGCTATTGGCCTACCAGAATTTTGCTTACATTTCCTCCTGTTGTTTTGGTTCTCTTTTTAGAATTATAAGATCATTCTGCCCTGTATGTGAACACCTAATTTCATTCTTGTTGCTACTGAGGCAGCTATGATGGTTGGTGGATTTCTTTGGGCCTCGGAGGAGGGGCCAGGGCTGCTTTCACAGTTACTAAAGGGTAATCTTAGGAGTGCCTGCGCATGGGGCCAACCATCTGTGGCTAAAGAGAGTGGCTGAGCCTGGGGAAAGAAGCAGGCAGCTGTGACCAATGGATGGAAGGCCTCAGCACACCCCTTTGCAGGAACTTCTAAAGATTTCCCAACCTAAACAGACCCCACGAAAAAAAGGCTCAGCCCACAGGCCGAAAACGGACAGCCAGAAGCCCTATAAAAAGGTGTGAGCTCTCACCGGGCAGAGTTAAATCCTTGTCTGCCTGCTTTGCACTGCAGACATGGGGCAGCAGTTTGGGTGACGGGCATACCCAGTGATGTCCTCCTTGCCACCCCACTACAGGTATGCCTAGTGACCTTGGCCAAGTTGCCTAACCTCTCTCATGGCATTAGATTCTCCATCTAGGAAACAAAGTTCGAAACACCCCATTCTAAGTGAAGGAACCTGGAACATTGCAGATGTCCATTTCTCTCTTCTTCTGAGTGAACCTTAACAGTTGTTGTCTTCCTGAAAAAAAAATTAAATGAATAATTTCTTCTCTTGGCCAGCTATCTTGTGCAGAATTCGTGGGAAAATAATTCCCTTGCCATGCACCTTTCTTGCGTCGCTGACTCACTGTGTATCCCGGATCCAGTCTTCTGCTCTTTGCCTCAATTTCCTGGTCTGTGGAAACAAACAAACAAACAAAAAATCCCCGCCTTCTCCCACCCACTGTTCAACCCAACAAAAGTCCCTTGAGTCACCCCCACACCATCCAGTCCCGAACCTCACATCTTCTCCTAAATGCGAACCTTCTACCTGCTCCTGTGTCAGGGGTTAGCAGGTTCCTGACACTGAGGGTTCCATGCCCCGGGCAATGTCAGTTCGAGTTTACTGAGCATGACTTTTGTAATGAAGATGAGGCCCAGATAATCCTGCCCACAACACAATTACTATCTAATCCTGTCCCAATCAAGGGTTACTCTTCCCTTTTGAGTCACAAGGAATCCTTGCAACAGGAAAAATACAAATTTGAAAACCCTATCAGAAATACTACCAAGCGTACCACCCACCTTAACCAGGCTGCAGGGGTGGCGAGTTCTCGCCTGGGCTTAGATGCTGACGTCTGCGGGACTCCGCCCGGCAGCTCAGAAGCAGTGATACTTTTAGAGCAGAGAGGTGGCTCGGGGAGCCTATTTATATAATCATTTTGTAAACACTGTTGCGCGGGATGGGGCTCAGGGTAAATGCCCCCCGGGTAAGTCATTTTCTCCGGTTATTGTGATCGGTGGTAGAGAAATCACCAAGGGTGCATATAAACCACCAGTCTTTCTAGCCCCGTTTGCGGGTCTGAAATGCACCTCCAGACCCCTCCCCCCTGGAAACTCAGCCGTACCCCTCCGCCCCCTCCTGGAAGCGGGGCGCTGCGGAGCGGTGGCAGCCCGAGCAAGCCCCCCCTCCCCGTGAAGGAGTGCGGAGTGCCCCCCACTCCCTCGGTGCAGAGCGCACCGACCTGCCACACCGCCTGCAGCCTGATGGCTGTTGATCTTATCGCGGGCCGGCAGGGAGATGAAGTGCATGTGTCAGGGGGTTCGTGCCTGTTCATCATTGTGGTTGCCCCGAAGTGGAGCAGACAAGGTAACACTTGAAGCCATTTTTGCAGAGAATTGCACAAACATCGGTGGCTCGGGAGAGTGAGTGGTTCCACTTCAGATCAAGAAAAACACCCACAGAATTTGGCGCAGACGGCGAGAGAAACACCGCAAACACACAGCAACAGACACACGCGCGCACACACACACACCTAAACAGAGTTAAACCCAAAGTCCCCAGAGCTAGAGGAAGTGCTCGTGCACCAACAAAGAAGCAACAACTGGAAAAGAAAGATTGGTTTGGTTGCCGAAGAATCTAGGGACAGAGCTGGTACTGCAGACGTGTGGAAGCCAAACGGCTTTCTTTGAGGGGGGCCATTCTGAGAGGGCGGAAAAAAAAAAACAAACCAACCCTGACTGTTCTCAGGGCTTGAAACTAAACGTTTCTACTTCGGAGAATTGGCAACGATTTCTTTCTGAAGGTGAGGGTGGATGGAGTGAAGAAAGGCCAAATTTGGGGCTTCGAGGAGGCAATGTACATTTTCAATCTGCCAAGCGGTCCAGGGGGGCAGGAACTGACAACTGTCGATAATTCTTACCATTACTCTTATGTAAGTAGGATTTCTGTATAAAGATTGTGTATAAAGAAGGTTTTTTTTTCCCCCTCCGAGTGGAAAGGTAAATCATGACCTGATTAAGTACGCCCTTGACACATCTAAATTCGTGCCACAGTGACCACTGTGCCCTCCTTGATTTGGCAAACACAATACCAAAGTGAGTAAGACAAACCTTGTTCTGTTCTCCTCTAGTTTGTTACCTAGCAGAGGGAGCAGACATTAAAGAAACAAACACTGAAATACATAATTATAAATTGTAATTAGTGTTTTAGAGAAAGAACCTGTGGTGTTTTGAGAATATTTTTACCCAGAAGTTTGAGCCTATTCAATAAGCATTTTAAAGCAATCATTATATGCATAATTGTAGTGATATATAGAAATGTCTGAAATCCGATCCTTACTTTCCAGGAGTTCAAAACCCTCTAAGGAATCCAGGCATGTTGATACATCAATAATAATATTTGAAAGAAGCAATGAGAGATTTTCCTTAAGTTATTTTAAAAACTACAGATTTTTTTCCTAGAAAATGGCGTGATGATGCTTTGTGCTATACACACACACATACACACATTTGCACCTTTATGCAAGTCTGTGAGATTCTTTATAATTAAGATTAGAAGACATAAATGATATTACCATTTACCTGGTATAAACCATCCAACTCAGGGGCATAGTGTCTTAAAGCAGAGTTTCTTAAACTTTAATGTGCATACAAATCACTTGAGGAGCTTGCCAAATACAGATTCTGATTCAGTTGGTCTGGAGTGAGCCCAGTGAGATTTGGCACTTTTTGTAACAATTTTGCTGATAATGAGGATGCTGGTGATCTGTGGACCACATTTTGAGCAGCAAGGTGTTAAAGGAAGGAGTCAAATTCTATAACACTGTGTTCACTCAGCATTCTTTCGTTCAACAGAAGTTTCCTGAGTATCAACTGAAGTTGGTTTATATTAAGCATTAACCAGCCCTTCCTTATTTAAAAAAAGAAAAAAAAGGTCTTCACACACTAGAAATTGAACAGTACACAGTTGTTTGGAATCTGAGTAACCATTTTATATCTGGTATAAATACTCAAAAGAATCCATGGGATGAACCAACCAAGATGGCAAAGGCAGTATCAAGAATCTCAATCCCTCATTGGGATTTGTCAATGGTTTCACTGTGGTGGATGACATAAATTGACATGGACATAAAGTTATATGCTAGACGTGGCTCTGGAACTCAATATGACTGTCTTTTAGACTCACTGACCTCTCAGTTCCTCTCAGGTGGGCATGAAGTACAACCTGCCTTTCTCTCCAACTCATAGCGTCTTCCCCTCAAATCCTTCCATTTTGCCATCTTGCAAGCAGGCCAGCCAAGAGAGGCCGTGGGCCTGCTGCTGTCCCTTCCCCCATGACATTTATCAACCAAATGAAACTTGACACTAGAATTGTCATTTTAGTGAGAAGATGATAAAACTCATTTCACCTTTCCACTTGATAGGCTGATAATTCCCTCTGTGCCTGATGAGTCTTGGCGAGGTTTGCCAGAAGAACAGATTCAAGTTGCACAGGGCATGTTAATGCATGTCTTTCCCTTTCACATTTGGAGTTCATTTCTACCCAATCATTTTCAAACCTCGCACAAATGGAATTTCCAAACCCGGGTTTAAGGAAAGCACCTTGATTTCCTCCCACTCACATCATGAAGAACATCAAAAGCCTTGATAAATGTTGAGAGAAGGTAATATTCTAAGCACAGATGAAACCCTTCCCCCACTCGTTTCGGACTGTCAGGGAAGTAATTGATGTGCCTCCCAGAGCATGATAGCCTCACACCACCAACACCCTTGTGTCCTGTTGGGAATTAACCTTGTCACTTTGTCTAATTCTCCACTGGTAAGAAGTATTCACTGCCAGAGACCGATCCATTATTGGTGGTGTGATTACTTGAAGGCAATTGCAATATTTAATATTCCTCAAACAAAGGACAATCCTGAGAATAGAGGAAAAGATGACACATTTTTAAAAAGGGGTGGGGGGCAATTGCTCTGCATTCTCCAGCTCCAGGTGAATTGCTGTCTACACTATCTGAACTAACTGATCCAAATCCAAGTCTTAGTAACAGGAAGAGCCAGTCAGAGATTCGAGAAACCATTTAGCAAAATGCTTCCAGGTACACCATTGTTTATTCATGTTACAAATATTTAATGAACATTTCCCATGGGAAGACACTATTACAAACCCCATCCATTGTTTTAGGGGGAGAATACTCAGAAAAGGGCTAAGAGATACTGAACTAAGGGGACATGTGGAAGATAGGAAACGCAAAAATTGGAATCCCATACAGTCGGAGGAGCCTTGGGTTAGGGGTACTGAGCTCTAATCCTGCCCCTATCCTTAGCTGGTTGTGGGAATTTGAGCCTGACTGAACTGGCTCCTAATTTCCTCACTTGTAATTAAGTAAATTGGGTCCTTGGTGAAGCTAATGTTTTATGGCTTCATGTAATTAAAACCTTCCTATCTTCTAAGGAAATTGCATATCTCCCAATCCTTTATTTTTCAGGTGATTGCTGGTTTGATACTAAACCACTCACCATGAGAGACCAGGGGATGTGATATGAGCTTCATCACCCATTCCCTCAAAATAGGTTCTGTCTGTCATTGCTTCACAAACCAAGGGATAATCTTACACAATCAAAAAGGCATGTCTGGGTATCTCTGCAGGTATCTACAGAGGGCATACTCCTTGTGTTATAAGAGAGCAAAACTAACAGGATGGCCAAGGTCAAAATAAAATGACTCTCTCCCATGAATTTTACTCTGAAATAGATTTGAATACTTGGGGTCAAGCAGCCTGGGGAAAACATCCTAGTTTTACTCCATGTCTCTTTTGGCTTCTAGATTTAACAGAGTAGTCATGGAAAGAAGAGAGACATAATAATACGACTAAATTCAAATTTCATCTGCTCTATCTCATTTAACTTTCATAATAATCCTATGATGGCAACTATGCCCTCCGATAAAGAGACTGAGCTTGGAAAAGTTAGATTATTTCCTGAACACCATGCTGCTTATATACAGTGACACAGAATTTGAACCCTGTTCTAACTATTGCTATTCAATCTTAGATACCTGCCTCAGCTTACTTGCCTATAAAAATGGATCAATATATCGATAAATATATTGATGAAAAATGGATCAACAAATCACAGTTTTGCAGGGAGCATTAAATGACCCGATGTACACAAAATGTTTAGCTCAGGGCCAGTGGCACGAGAGGTACTCAAACTCAATTGCCTTTTCCGATATAAGAAGACGCAGGTCTGTAGCATGGGATTGAGAAATAAACATTTTTACTACAGAATGGGAAAGAAAAAGAAAAAAAAGCATTGATGAAGCAGTTGGATGAATTCTTCCAAGACCTTTCTCCAAGTAAGTTATCTTTCCAAGGTTCCTGTTATGACTTTCTCAAAGGTTTTGCACTTATGAAGCAGATATGGACTGACGAGGGTGGGCCAAGCCCTGTGTTCACTCTGCAGCCTTGCTTGTGTTGGGTCAGCGTGCTCATGCTCATGCCTCCGTAGAGAGTGAGCACCCTTTCTGGAATCTTGACAGGAAATACAACGCCCCCCCCCAACGCCCCCACCACTCTCTCCAGGAGTCATGGGTGATGAAGATGTTTCCTGCCATTCTACACAGGACAGAGAGTTAGTTAACCCTGCTTTCATTATCAGTGGAGTGGCTGGCGATTGGACCTCTGCCCCCTAGAGTGAACAAGCAGCCAGGACTGGCCCTTTGGCATCACCCCATCTTGGTTGCAAGCAAGCAAACCTGTCACCTTCCTGTTTTATCTACACATGGTGTTTGCTTCCTTTGACGTGGATTCTTACACTCAGGGTGGGAGGGATTTCTCGAAAAACAACATTTGTTGTATGCCACTGATTCCCTGTCTCCCCACCCCTTTCTCTTTCCTTTTCAAGGCTCCAGGAATTGCTAATGGCATGTCCTGAACACCCAATGCTCAGCTAAAAATACCCGAGCATGTGCTTATCTACATCGGGGCTTCCTCTCTAGGGGATTTACAGACGTTATCTCATTTATCCTTAAAAACACCCTGCAAGGTAGGATGTGGTCAACGAATACTATTGCAGAAAGGTGAGGAAGGCTTTGAGAGGGAA